ATAATATAGTAGTAAATTAAAAATATGACTCCAGAATCTAAAAGCTTTAGTTTAAATCACTTTAGTCACATGCTATAGCTCACTCTGGGACTCTGGGCTAGTTATCTTAACTCTGTGCTACAGGGCCTCAGTGTCATTACTTGCAACACGGAGGTTACAATGCTTACCTCATAGAACTTGGAATAGAAAACTTTTATCAATGCATAGAAATGTTAGGCGGTAGTGGTAGCAGCAATTCTAGTGATGATAGTAACAGTAGCAATAGTAATGTAACCTATTTATGTTTAACCAACCAGTATTTAAGGAAAGAGGAAAGGCTCTAAACAATGTGCCTCATTCAATCCTTTCAACTACAAAAGGAAACAAGGATAATTCTAACTATTATACTAATAAAGAAAGGGGAGGTTCACCTGCCTAAATTACTCAGTTAGTAAGTGGCAGAACTAAGATTTGAACACTGGTCTATGTGGACAAAAAATTTATTTTATTTTCACAACACTACCTTTACAGCAGTACTTAGCATTAGCAGAATGAGCACAAAACTAGGCATTCTGTTCTTGACTACTAAACTCACAAAATCTGAGCACATCATTAAATGTCTGCCTTTCAATTTTATTTTTAGAAAAATTAAGTAGTTTAATTAAATCTTGAGGTTTCACTTCAGCTAAAAAAGTTTATGATTTTATAAAAGTACCACACTTAGTGAGTGTGTGTAACTCAGAGAAAGTTTTAAAATACAGCAGAAGACCTTTTCTGTTTAAAAAACAGAAACCTTAAACAAAGAAACAAACAAACAAAAAAGTTTAAAGTTTTTCCAGGACTTCATTGTCAAAAAGAAATGAATGTTAAAGAAAAGGCCAATATCTAATTTATTATTAGCAAGTATGACTAAGCAAATGTATGAGTGAACAAAACATCAATCTTAATTATTTCAAGATGTCAATTTTATCACCTACATTTTCAATAATTATTAGAAAGAAAACTCAATACCCTCATACACCTACAGACCTATAATCAAATAAAATACAAATTTACCGAATTATATTTCATGCTGAAACTGCATCCAGGCTATTTTTGTTTTAAATATCAATCTGAAAACTCTCCTGCCCTAAAACCATTCACTAATAGAAATACTATCCTTTAGTGACATCCAAAATCCTTAACATGACTCAACCAAGTCATGTGATCTGGCTCCTCTCTCCAGAGTTATCCAATGCTATTCCTCTGGCTCTTTTTTCAGTTTCCTCCAAGACACCTTTTTTCTTTCATTTTAGGGCCTCATCCAAGCTGTTTTCCCAAACCTAGAATGCTCTCATAACTCTCCATTCCCATCCTGTTGCCCCAGCCAACTGCTCTTCATCCTTCCAGGCTGAGATCAAATGTCATCATGCCAGGAAATCCTTTCCTGATCTCCCAGACATACATTTTGAGAGTATTCTGAACTTCATAACACTCACTAGTCTTGTAATTACTTGTTCAACACTTGTCTTTTCTGCTAAATGGTAAACAATATGAAGATGGCCATTTCATGTTGTGTTTCCTACTATTTTCCCAATATCTAATATATTGCTTAGCACAGAGTAGATTAAGTGTTCAATAAATGTTTGCTGAGTTAATACATTCAAAATGTGGGGCAGCAAGTCCAAAACCATGAGATACCTTCTTGCTAGCACAAATACCTAAAAAGTTTTATACAGCCCTGGCTCATGTGGTTCAGTGATTAGACCATCAGCCCAGGACTAGGGGTTTGATTCCCTGGTCACGGGCACATACCTGAGTTGCAGGTTTGATTTCCCAGCCCGTCAGGGCATGTGCGGGAAAGCAACAAATCCACGTGTCTCCCTCAAATTTAGGTTTCTTTCTTTTTCTTTCTCTTCCTCCCCCTCAACCCCCACTTTTCTCCTTTCCATTCTCTCTAAAAATCAATGGAAAAAATATCCTTGAATGAGGATTAACAACAACAAAAATTCTACACAAATTTGAGTTACATCTTACTATTAGTCCTTCAAATGTTCCTTCCTCAAATAGGGACTATTTGGCAATTATACAACTTTCAAGTAAAGCAAAAAATCCTTCCTGATAATGAACCCATCTTCAAGTTTTACAAAACCAAGATTAAAAGCCCGTTTTTAAATCATTGGAATTAGCTTTAAAACTCATGATCTAAAATAATTCACCCGAAATACAATTAAAGGGACAGGAACTTGGATAAGGGCTCAATTTTATCACACAAATGTATGTCATAAAAGGACCAATCCCAATTCTTACTACTGTAGTGCCTTATTTATTCCAACAGTAATGACTACAGTGCTAGTCATCTGAGTAGGCTACATGATACCTGGAATATGCTTCGCTAAAACTAAAGAAAAATCATAAGCATACACACTAAGTAATTATAACAAATTTTCTTTTAGGTTAGTAGGGAAAAAAAGGAAATGGTAGTAAAGCTGGTAAGTAATTCTACAACTGGAGGCTTAAAAAGAGGAATACTGGTTTTGTGTGTGTGTGTGTGTGTGTGTGTGTTTTAATCCTCATCCGAGGATATTTTGACATTTATCTTCAGACAGAGCGGGAGGGAGAAAGAGAGAGAAACATCAATGTGAAAGAGACACAACTGGTTGCCACCCACATGGCCCCAGAGGAGTCAGGGACGAACTGAGACTGAGGTACTGCCCTTGGCCAGAATCAGACCCACGATTCTTTGGTCTGCAGGCCAACACTAATTGTTGAGCCAAACCGGCCAGGGCAGGAATACTGTTTTAACTCATAACATTTTTAAATTTTCTGTTCATCTGATGCAATGCTAAATATAAACCTGGCAGTGTTCAGACTTTCTTAACACATATTCATTATTTTCTCCATTTTAGAGATGAAGAACCAGAGGCACTGAGTTAAGCAACTTACCCAATATTTTACAGCTGGTAGAGACACAACTCAAAGCCAACCAATCTCACTCTAGAGTTCTCCCTCTCAACCACTACACCACACTGATGCTCACAATCTCTTTCAAATGCACTGAAATAAAGTTTCTATCTGAACCACCCACTCCAGTAAAACTATTTTTGCTAAGGTCACCAATGACTTCTACCTTGCCAAATCTAAGGGCCACATATCTGCCACCATCTTTTCCATCCATTCTGCAGCATCCCATCAGGTGACAACTTGCCTCTTGCCATACATTCCTTTAGTAACACACATCCCAATTTTCTTCCTACCTCAGACCTGGGCTCTCTTCTCTTCCCTATCTACCCACTTTCCTAGGAAATTCCCACAGTTCCATGGCTTTGAATACCATCTGAATGACGCCAAATTTCTCTAGTCCTGCCTGAGTTCTCGATGCATATACCCAACTATGTACTTGACATCTCACATAGATGAAACCAACCACCTTACCCTCCCTCCCCTCAACCTGTTCTCCCCAGCCTTCTCTACCATCACCCATCCAGTTGCTTACTCTACCTTCTTAGTCATCATCCTTGACTTCTCTCTCCTTCATCTCCCACATACAACCAATCAGCAAGTTCTATCAAATCTACTTATAAAATATATTTAGTTGCGTCTCCACTATCACTCTAATGCAAATTACCTACATCTCTGCCTACAATGCCCTTCAGAATGGTCTCCTTGCTTCCATTTTTGCCCCCTTAATCTTTACAAAGAAGTCAGAGTTAAAACAAAATCAAATAATTAGTCTCTGCTTGCTTTAAATCATCTAACGTCTTCCCATTCTAATTTAAATGAAATCCTAACTCTTGACCGTGGTCTCAAAGATCCTACAGGACTTGACCCCTGACTATTTCTCCAACTCCAAATCCTCCCATCCTCTCCTCCCCCACAAGGTTCCTTACAGCCACAACTGTCCATGATCACTACTGCTACAGGGTTGTTGCACTTGCTGTTCCTTTTGCAAGAAACATTCTTCTTCCAGACTTTCACACAGATGGTTCCCTCTTCCCTTAAGGTATTGCTCAAATGTCCCCTCCTCTGAGAGGCCTTCTAATCACTCCTTTACATGATCCTCTATTATTACCACTGTCACTGCTCTTATCGTTATCTGAAGTTTTCTTAATTGCTTATTATGTCTTATCAACTTTGGAATTTGAAAGCTTCATCACCAAGGCTTTCCACAGTACTAAGTAGGTGCTTAATAAATATATTGAATGAGTGAATTTTCCCCAATGCGTTTTAAGTTGTTTATTGTAAATCAACCAATTTTGATAAAGCACTTGGCTCCTGATACATTTTTTATGTATTCAAAGACAAAGCCTTAAAACACTCCTTAATTTTCCCAGTCTAAAGCATTTGTGTACGCTGAACCCTGCCCTCCCCAACAGATACATAGCCGATCTATAGCATCCCACTTAAAACTGCTAAATACTCCATATGAATAGACTGCATTTTCTTTCTCCTCTCCAAGCGAACGAACGTGTAGGTGGGAAAGGGGAATTTTACTGAGCATCTCAGCACCTGTTACATCTTCAACCAGTTAAGAGAGGTGCCGATGAGCCAGACAGCACATGGGAGACGTGGCTTTTCTTTCAGTAATAGTATTTAGATAAAACGTAAGTGGCTTAGACTAGAACTATCCAAATCCTTAATAGCGGTCATTCAACTCGTTTAAATAAACATGATAAAACAGTCTGTGGGCAGGAGGTTATGCTCGGATTCACTAAAAACAAGAAACCGACGGATTTGGGGACCCTCAGGAAACGTGTGTGTGCGCGCGCGCGCGTGTGCGTGAGTGTGAGTGTGTGTTGCGGTCGGTCCACCTATAACGGGAAAATAAGAGGAGAAAGCGTTCAAACTCAGGGCTAAAATAAAGGCTCTCTGGGGTGTGCAGAACCTGGAGAAGAGGGTGGAAGAACAGGAGAAAACACAAGAGCCCTGGGACCTTCGTTCACCGCTTCGGCCTCCACCGCAAGCACTTGGGGAACTGCACTGATCTGCGCCCCTCTACCTCCCATTTCCATCCCTGCAAGGCGATAGCCGCGGATACTCACATGGGCTCGAGAGTCTTGCTGAGCCAGGACTTCAGTGCCTCGAAGTTTTCAATGATCATTTTAGAAACCATCCACAGTGGCCCCGAGGCCCGTCACACTCCTCCGCCCGCCCAGGTCGCGGCCGCTACAGCCGCCGCTGCCCCCGCCCCCTCCTCCGCGCGCCGCCCGCGTGGGCCGCGGGGGAGGCGTCGGTGGCAGGTTCCCGCGAGCCGGGATCGGTGAACAGCTCCGCGGGGACCGCCACAGGCCGCGCGTGCAGGAGGTGCCAGGAGCTTCCCCCTCCCCGACCCCGGCCCGGGCAGAGGCAGCAACGGCTTGCCCGAGCCCTCCCCTTTCCCTCCACCCAGCTAATCTTTCTGAACTGGGACCGCGACACACGCCTAGACCGGGGCTTTCTCTCAGCCTCGGGATCAGGTGCTTGTCGGGAACGCAGAAGCAGCAAAATGAAAAAGCGAAGACGAAAAGCAGCTCAATGGGAACGACTCAGGGGGTCTCCCCAGCTCCCAGCACCCCCAAGAAGATGGCTGCCGGTAACTCTCGCGAGAATTGAGGAAGTCTCGCGATGTCTCCCGAAGCCTGCTGGGAAGACACGTAAGATTCGCGGAGAGCGAACTGTACGGAGTGCGGTAGTTGATATTTTGCGAATGTGGGTTCCTTGCGGCTTTTGTACCTTTTTACCCTCGAGTCCCCTTAAGAAATGAAGACTTTACTTTTTGCTTTCTAGGAGGAAAAATCGATGCCTGCAGAAACTGCAGGAGCCCCAGCTGGTCCTGTGACGCCGGCGGTGGCGCGTCCGCTGGAGCGCTCCTGGACGGCATTCCCACCTGTGTGCCTGTCGGTTCCAGTTGTGCTGCGCTGTGCTGTCTCCTCCGTTTGCTTGTGTCCTGCAGTACCACCTTCTGTGTGTGCTGTGATGTGGTTTGGGAAGCACAGGCTGGTCTGATCTAACCCACTGAGACTTCCAGAGGATAAGTGTCTGGTGCAAAATTACGGGCTTGTCGGCAGAGCACTAATAACTCAGGGATGCCGCATGTGAAAGGTGAGATAACCTTGACAGTTCTCAGATAGTTTCCAACCGTCTGAGACTTCCGTCCTGTCCCAAGCTGACGATAAGAAAGGTGTTTGTGTTTTTAATGCACTTCTTTTAGAGCGATTCAGGCCCAGAGAGGGAAATTACATAGCCTCAAAAGAGAGAGCCTTCATATCAGCATCTCAAATAAATTAACTTCCCTTCTCCTGGGTAGTCAAATAAGTTCGATTTCTGTCCGAGTTGCTCTATTTGCTATTACTTACTACCATTAAAGTACTGGGTGGCATTTTACAAAAGGTCTAGTGCCCATTAACTATAGTGAAATGAAAACAATTCACAATATAGACACTTAGAGTAAGTAGACCAATAAAAAGTTCTTTATGGCAGACACTAAATTGTCGTTAAGAACGCAAAGTTTATAATTTCTTGGAGTGAAGTGGCCGTAAGCAGTAAGTGGAAAAAATTATCAGGTAAGTAAAGCTAGACATTTTGTTTTCAAATATAGCATGTAGTGTAGGATGCAAATTAAAATCTAGCTGTGGAATAACCAGGGTGTTGATTAAAGCAATTTAGCTAAGTGAAATAAGCCAAACACAAAAGAACAAATGTTGCCCTGGCCGTTTTGGCTCAACGGTTAGAGCATTGGCCTGAGGTCCAGAGAGACCCAGGTTCAGTTCCCACTAAGAGTGCTTACCTTGGTTGCAGTTTGTCCCCAGCCCTGGTTGGGTCATGTGGGTGGCAACCACTCCATGTGTCCCTTTCACGTGGATGTCTCTCTCTCTCCCCCCCCTCCCCCTCCCATTCTATCTGAACAAAAAACGAAAAAATGTCCTCGGGTGAGGATAAAAAAAAATAAATGTTTAAAAAAAAACAAAAGAACAAATATTGTATGACCACTTATGAGAGGTACCTAGAGAAGCCAAACTCCTAAAGATAAAAAGAATAATAGTTGCCAGAGGTGGGAGGAGTAGGGAAGAGAGTAAATAACTCAGGGAGTTATGTTTTAATGGGTAAAGAGTTTCAATTTGGGATGATGAAAAAGTCCATCTGGAGATGGACCATGTTGATAGTTCACAACAATATGAATGTACTTCATGCCATTGAACTTTATACTTAAAAGTGGTTAAAATGAATTTAAATGTACATTTTACTGAAATAAAAAATTTATAAATTTAACATTGCTAGGGGAATGGTTTATTTGTTTAATAACCTTGTCATTGGCTGACTCAAGCAATGTTTTCAACCTCATCACCATTCATTACAGACTTTACAGACTTCCAAAACTAATAGTCATTCATTCCTTCGAAACTTCCAAAGCTAATCATCGTTCTACTGTCAAATACTATATACTCCAGGTAAACTGATTTGCTTGTCCTCCACTTTTACAAATACTTATTCACATTATTTCCACTGGGAATGTCTTTACTAACTTCTTTCTCTGGCAGCTCAAACCTTACACATACTTCTGTCTCAATACCACTCCTAGTGTATGTTTAAAGTCTCTTATTTTCTCTAAACAATAGCAACAGCCTTTTCATCCCTCTGCCTCTTAGATTGTCCCCATATCAGTTCATATTCAACTACCTTCATTTTCATTCCCTTTTTTAAAATAGGTTTTTATTGATTTTAGAGAGGGAGAGAGAGAGAGAAACATCAATCAGTTGCCTCCCAAACACACCCAGACCAGGGACTGAATCTGAAACCTAGGCACATGCCCTGTCTGGGAATCAACTGGTGACCTTTGAATGCACTGAAGGACACTCAACCAATTGAGCCACACCAGCCAGGGCCATCATCATTGCCTTTAATTGTAATCATTGTGAAACTTGAATCTAAATCATGTTACGTCCCTGCTTAAAATCTTCATCAACTCCCACATTGTCTTCAGTATAAAAATTCAAATTCTTTAACATCCTCTAAAAGGCTTTTCATAATCAAACTCATTCCTATTTGCCTTAGATATTTCTTTCAGTGCCTATCAGCCTTTGATCCAGCCATTCTGAACTATGTCATGTTCCTTAAAAGAGGTATGTTTTCATTAAACTGAGACATTGCAAAATGTATTTCCCTCTCTTTCACTTGACGGAATCCTGCTAATCCATCAAAATCAGTGTGCCCTGGCTGATGTGGCTCAGTTGGTTGTGTGTTGTTCCATGCACCCAAGAGTTGCCAGTTCAATTCCCAGTCAGGGTACATGTTCAGGCTGTGAGCTTGATGCCCGGTGTGGTGAGTGCAATGGGCAGCCCACCAATATTGCACTCATACATCAATGTTTCTTTCCCTTTCACCCTCTCTAAAAATAAATAAACTGTTCTTTTAAAAATACATATATATCAATATTTCACCTTTGGAAGTTCATCCCTGACCTCCCTGCTGTAAAGCAAGTGTCCCTCTGAGGCTTTCTCACATCAGCCTGTGCTTGCTTCTGTTACAGCATTCATTGCTTTATTTTTGCAATTATCTAATCTGTTCCTTAGTAGACTATAATTTTGAATCTCCTGCTTCAAGCACAACTCCTGCAATATGGAGTGAGTTCTCAGTTCAATATTTTTTGAATGATCAAATGAAGCCCTACCACTTCCATGAAATCTTACTGACCAATGTAGCCTTCCTCTTCTAAATCCATGATACAGTACTTGTTAATCACATTAGTCATCAGTGCTGTCTAGCATGCTTCAGTTCCTTACTCATTAACATTTATCCCTCATCATGTCAGTGCTTCATCTTCTTTGGCTTTGCCTTCAAAGTTGACAACTAGTTAATGTGATAATCAGTGCTACTAGGAAAAGACTAAACCCCTATAGTCTACTTTCTCTATTCAGTAACAAACATTTCAGAATGTCCTATGTTAGGTTACTGACTTAACATTTTCCAACACACCACGCTCTTTAAAAGCCCTGTGAGCCCTGGCCGGTTTGGCTCAGCGGTTAGAGCGTCAGCCTACGGTCCAGAGAGACCCGGGTTCAGTTCCTGCTAAGGGCACATACCTCAGTTGCGGTTTGTCCCCAGCCCTGGTTGGGTCGTGTGGGTGGCAACCACTCGATGTGTCCCTTTCACATCAATGTTTCTCTCTCTCTCTCCCCCTCCCACTCTGTCTGAACAAAATATCAAAAAATGTCTTTGGGTGAAGATAAAAAAAATAAATAAATAAAAGCCCTGTAACTTTGCTAGTGCTGTTCCTTTTGCCTGGAATGACTTTCCTTGTTGCTCAAATACCAGCTTCCCACTGATGCCTAGACAAAGGTAGTTGCTTCTTGGTTACTACTTGTAGAATAGGAATTAAAACATTTTATTTTGTTTTTTCATGTCTCCTTACCTAGATTATGAGCTCCTTAAAGGCCGGGACTCAAACTTATTTCTCTTCATATTTCTTGCACTTAGCACAATGTCTGGAACTAAAAAAAATGTTTATTTAAGGATATGTACTTCATTTTAAATAGGAGGAAAGTAGATATGGGAAAATATTTTGGATAGGTAAATCATAATGATATATCTCCTAACAAACCTATATATGTCCTTTTGGTTTACTTAGCTGCCCTGATCCTAGGAATATTTTCCAGAGTGTGCTTAATTTCTCAGGTTCTTCCAGTTCTCCTAGCTTATGGATACAATCTTATTGCTCTCAATAGTGCTTTTTGGGTCTTGTTTAAAACTCAGTCTGCATTTCAGCATCACAAAGATACTCTGTGTTCTTCTCTTTGTTTTATAGTTTGTTCCTCTCTTTGGAGAATTACATTTAGGTCTTTATTCTCTCTGGAATACATTCACATATATGGTGTAAGGCAAGGATCTAGCTTACTTTTCTCCAAATGGGAAATCAACTTTTCTCTGTAATCTGTTCCTTCCCCATTGATTTTTGATGCTACCTTTACCATATGTTCATATTTCCATTTATATGTGGTTCTGGTTCTGACCTCTTCAATTGGTCTCTTTGTCTGTGACTACACCAGTACCATGTTTTTATTTACCATCATCTTGTAGACTATCTCAATACATAATAGAGCAAATCCCTTCGCTTTGCTCTTCTTTCTCAAATTTGACTTGGCTAAATGTGAACCTTTAGTCTTCCAAATACTTTTAAGAAGGCTCATTGAGCTTGTCAAAAAAAAGTTCCATTAAATTTATAGATTAAGGACTTCTGGTCAAGATGGTGGTGTAGGTAAATGCTAAACTACAGAACAACCATCATTCAAAACCGCCTGAAATCAAACTGAGTGGAAGTCCTACAACTACAGAATTAAAGAAGCAGCCACATCGAGGCTGGGAAAAAAAATTATTAAAAAATAAATAAATAAAATTTATAGCCCTGGTCAGTTTGGTTCAGCAGTTAGAGCGTCGGCCTGCGGTCCAGAGAGATCCAGGTTCGGTTCCCGCTAGGGGCACGTACCTCAGTTGCAGTTTGTCCCCAGCCCTGGTTGGGTCATGCGGGTGGCAGTCACTCGATGTGTCCCTTTCACATTGATGTTTCTCTCTCTCTCTCTTCCTCTCTCTCCCTCCCACTCTATCTGAACAAAAACT